CTCATCTCCGTCACAGTCATCTCCATCACAATTTTACTGTGATGGAGATGACTTCTTGATGTTTTCTTTCCTCAAAAACAGCTATAAAATAAAAATGGTAATTGATACGACTTACGTTGTTCGAAAGCTGTTTGTTCATTGTGTATTATCCTATATTTAAATAATACAATTTATCTTTCAAATTTACTAAGATTCACATCTATGTCTATATCATCATCTCCGTCACAAAAAAAGTGATGGAGATGATTCTTGAAATATTTGCTATGTTACAGCACTGAAAATTGAATGCTTAAATAAACGTTTAAAATGCCCTAATTATCGTGCCGAATGTTTATTATAGTTGTTATATGGCATAATGGTGACATGTGTAATAAAAGAATTACAAATGTGAAACTTTTTTTTTCATGATTTCTAAACCTCTAAAATGGCACATTAGCGAAGAATGACCCATATAGCTCTAGGCCAAAAGAAAATAATTTAATTATAAGGATCCCTTTAACCAATAATATGATGAAAAAATGAATCAGTTATATGCCTACTTACTATATGAATTCAAGAACCTGAAAGATTCATTTTGAAAAGTCATATAAGAACCATGCACTTGCTATTAAAATTTGTAATTAGGCTGAGAAAACAATAATAAGCAAATCTTAAATGAAAGACAGAAAATTAATATACCTGAGTTATTAAAAAGGAAACAGACAGAAATTCAGTACTGTATAAGGATTTAAAGTATAAGAGCCAGAATAATGCAACAAGAGCAAGTAGTAAGAACAAACAGAGAATAATAATGAATTTAAAGCTAAATTCCAAACCAGTGCCAAAAACAACAATAAATTAAAGTACAGTTAATTCTGAGAAAGAACTTAAGTTAACTGTTAACTTCAAATTTACTGTGTATTACTCTAATAATTTTTTGAAAGTAAAACAAACTCTGTTAAAACCGTCACGATTATACGGTTTTCAGACAGCTCATCTATTGACTAATAAATAAAGTCCCTAATGTAAGCACTTATGTTTGCATTTGCAAATCATTTAAAACAAAAATAACTTTAATTCTTATAAAAATAGATATACATTTTTTTTAAATAATTAATTTTGTCGTTGAACTTTTTTTTTTTTTATTACCTTCGTCAATTGTGAATAAAATGCAATCACCAAATATACGTATATCAGTCATGTGTTTTTGATTAGTTGTTTTTGATGGTCCATGTGACACTTGAAACACTTGAGGTTGAAGGTCATCCAAATCATAAATCACAATCGATAACTGGTTGGAGTACCTTAAGGGAAACTGTTGATAAAAAAAATAATTTAAATAAATTAATTTTAGGCTAAGCAAACTACTTAGATTCTAATATTAAAATAGGCGTGCTTCCGGAAAATTAGGTATTATGTTCTTTGATAATTACTGTACTATGTTGTGTAAAACAGAGCAACAAAAGAACATGCTTGAGCCAATAGAACGCTTTGTTACTGAACTATTTTATTCGCTTCTCTACTCCAGAGGGCGTTATATATGTTAGCTTACAAACTGTATGGTTTGAACATCACATTAGTTGTGGGTTTTTTAAGTGAGTGTTATGTGCTCATGCATTTACCAAACGGATTACCAGAAACTGATTAGAAGAGAAATATAAAAAAAAAACATAGTAAAGAAGTGCAAACAGACACTGGCCCCTTTATCAACTACAAGAAATACACTTTTTTTTTGTAAGAAAATTGCGGTTGAAATTGCCAAAAAATCAGGAACAAAATAAGAACAAATTGAGGCTGAGGTAAAATGCCAAATAGAAAAACCAACATATCTTATCCGTACCTTATTTGTAGTAGGTGTGACTACAGTATGTAATAACCTCTATAATCAGGGGGGATCCAGAGATGGCCGAAAGTGGGCCGATCGAGATAATACTACCCTAGGGGGTCAGGGGGCATGCCCCGGCGAAATGTTTGTGTTCTAGACGTCCGAAAATAACCTCAGAGGCGTTTTTGGGCGATCAATTTTTTCTTTTTCTTTCTTGCTTTCTTTTTTTCCCCTTTAAAAAAATTTTCTATAAGGTGGGTGGGGGGCAGGGCCGGCCCTCCCCCACTAATTTCACCCCTGATAATACAGTACAGTATATGCTGTACAATAATAATTTTCCACGTTTGTATAGTGTGTAAATCTAAGAACAAAACAAGAACATTTTGAGCCTGAAATCGGCAAAAAATTAGAATACTGTGTCTGGGCAAAATTGTACAGGTTCTCATTAAAAAAAAAGTGTATAGAAATAAATGCAGCCATGAACCTCACCGCCCCTGCACAAAAAAAAAACAAAACAAAACAAAAAACATGAGGATAAATCATTTATTCAGTTTTAAAATCTCATTACTCCACATTTCAGGCCTCCCTGTTTTGACAAATCTTTCAATAAACTTACCACACATTTTCTGTCCCAAACAATGACTGAACTACGACTAATAAGCAAATCCTTTGTTAGCTCTTTAGTCATATTTCTTAAACGAAAGTTGTATTCATTCTCCTTTCTTTCAAGAATATAAACTTTAATACAATCTGCACTTGCGATTACTAACAGGTTGTGCCAGACTCTGAAATGTAAAATCATCAACGGTTATTTGCAATCTCCATTTGCCATAGAGTACAATTATTGTTACATTACATTGCATTACAGCTAATAAACCAGTTATTGTTGTTGTTACTGTTTTTTTACTGGTATCGTTAATTGGTAAGTGAGGAAACTTTTCGTCTGTTCAATTCTATATCTACGCTTATCAAATTGATAGTTCAACAATTTCAACAAGAAAACCTTATTCATTAAGAGATTGATATGAAAAAAATAATACAAAATGTCGAATTTAGCCTTAAAATAAAACTAAAGAATGCTCCTTCTTTTACACTGCGCATTAAAAGCGTAGCCTTCCCATCGTCTGATTTTTCTTTGAAAGTGGGGGTTTAAAACTAATCAGAATTAACAAACTTTAGTTATCGTGCTAACAAACGATTTACTACAACAGCTACAGCGACAATATGAAGAACTATTACAAGTTCAACTAATAAAATTAGATTTTTTTTTATGGCAAATGATGGATTTAGCGTAAATTATCTGATTAGTGAAATACTAATTATGCAAATGAGCAAAGATAGGGTTCATCACTTTATCATCCATCTTGCATTGTGCTAATTGGAAACCAATCAGACTTTTCAAATTTTAATTATCGTGGTAACTAGCGTACATTTTCTGATTAGTGAAATATTAATTATTCAAATGAGAAATTAGCATATTCACATTCATATTCATAAGTACCAAAAACAATAGGCCTTGTCTTCTTATTTTTCCATCTTGCATTCTTTCAAGTATGAAATATCAATAGGACTTAACCAAACTTTAGAGTTATCGTGGTAAAAGAGTAAATTTCTTGATTAATGAAATATTAATTAAAATAAAAGTTAGAATATTCACACACGCAAAAAACTCTACGCTTCGCTCCTTTGGGGAGGCTAATTAGGATTGGTACAATTAATGTTAAAATAACTAAACAAGTCAGAAAAACGGAAATAAAAGGATACTATCGTTACCCCATAACATGTTTATATCCAAGATTTAATACTGTTGCCACACGAAACTCTTCATCAGAAAATACCCACCACTGGACAGAATAGTCATTGGTCGGTAGTATGAGTGAATGCTGCGTCAATTCTTGATGCTTGGAAAACTTGCAGAGTGGATCTGAATTAGAATCAAATCATTTGGCAAAAAAAAATAAATTGGTTGTTTGCCCTTCCTTTTTTGAAAAACGATAAATAGAGCCTAGTGGAAAAAGCTTATAATCATCAGATGGAATAAAAATAGGGCCTAACTCACAGAGTCCTAGAATGGTAATCCTACATCAGACAACATCTTTAGACTAATTTGTAGAGCATATGGCAAAAAATAAAGATAAATTCACTGAATTTTGTTTTATATTGTGGAGAAAAAAGCTAAAAAACCCCCATTTCTTTAAGTTTTTTTGTTTTTCCGCCCCTGTTTTTTTTAATGAGTTAGGGGCGGGTGGAGGAGGGCAAACAAACAATTTTTTGGCCTTATCGGAGCAACGAGTACTCTCAATGATCATTGCAAACTCGATTATATTTCTTGGTGTGTGGAACACACCAAGCATAACCGAAGAAACTTTCCAGTATCAAAGATACTAGAAACATAAGATAGAGTTCACCACAGGAAATAAAAAAGAAACGAAAACTGTTCCACCGAAATGCAATGTGGGAATACAAATGATGGGGCGCCGCGTCCGGCTGGATCTAAGAAACTTATGCCAGTGTTACACAACTGTGAATACATAATCTCCTTCTGTAGAGTTGGAAATCGTTGCCATTATCCATAAAATACAACCAGTAGGCATTAAATAAATCAAAACAATAAAATGACAGACAGCTAAGCGCACAATCGTATAACCGGACTCTGATTAGTGATAACGTTTTCCTCCATTAATGGAAAAAGGAGGTCGCCGTGTGCGTCTGGATCATTATGATATAATAGGAATACTAGAGCGCTTTAACTGTAAGTTCGAAATACGCAGAGCTGTGGTGTGCACCATCCAAGATGGCTGCCATAGATTTAGCCAATCAAATTTCGCCTAAGCA